AACTCATTTATGCCTATATGTAGATGACATGCTTATAATGAGCAAAGACATTGCTAATATAAAAGCTACAAAGCGTATACTTGCTAGTTAGTTTGATATGAAAGATTTAGGAGTTGTTGATGTGATATTAGGAATTAAAATTCTTAAAACTTCTAACGGTCTAGCATTTTCTCAAACTCATTATATTCAAAAGATACTTGAAAATTCAAATTTTTGAATTTTAAAAGGGCAAAGACTCCAATTGATGTAAACCTTCATCTTGCTAAGAATAAAGGTGAAAATCAATCTCAATTGGACTATGCTAGCGCATTAGGAAGTTTAATGTATGTCATGAATTGTACACGACCAGACATAGCTTGCGCTATCAGTAAACTGAGTCGATACACAAGTAATCCTAATCAAAGTCATTGGTTGGAAAGTAAGAGAGTTTTGGGTTACTTAGATGATACTCAAAACTATACTTTACATTACAACAAATATCCAGCCACTCTTGATGGATATATTGATGCAAATTGGATTACTGGGTCAACTCAAACAAAATCCACAAGTGGATACGTTTTACTATTGGTGGAGGAGCAATATCTTGGAAATCATCCAAACAAACATGTATAGCTCGCTCAACAATGGAGTCTGAATTCATTGCTTTAGACAAGGCAGGTGAAGAAGCTGAATGGCTCCGGAATTTCTTAGAAGATATTCTATTTTGGTACAAACCAATGGCCCCTATATGCATACACTGTGATAGTCAAGCTGCAATAGGAAGGGCTGGAAGCATTATGTATAACGGTAAGTCTTGTCACATAAGACGAAGACATAACTCTGTGAGACAACTACTCTCTAGTGGAATTATCACAATTGACTATGTGAAGTCCAAAGATAATGTGTCGGATCCACTTACAAAAGGCCTAACTAGAGAGGGAGTTGAGAAATCATCGATGGGAATGGGACTATGGCCGAGAACAAGTCATCGTGGCGGTAACTCTACCTAGAAGACTAAAAATCCCAAGATCTAGGTTCAAGGAGATAAAACAAAGTCATTGATGACGGTTCAACATTGTCAAGAAAAAATATTATTTTATGGTTCATTCTCATGATGAAACAATGTTTAGTAACCAGGATAAAGACATAAGGACTTTTTAATGGTTTCTAAATTTGATACAGGGAATATCAAATGATGTATCTATGCGATAACACATTTAGAAATCACCTATGTAAGTGTGAAGTGTAAGCCTTTTCAAGGAAAATCCGGTAAGACCAGTTCTTTAAGTACTTACTATCTAAGATGTGTTCATGGCTGAAACGAACAAAACAATGAGAACTAAGAACAGTTCAAGGGTTGATTGTCTGACATATGTTGTCTAGGTATAGACCAAAGCTCGACGGTTTAAATATATCAAATCTATCGATTGACCGAGTATATCCAATATATGTTCACTACGAAAAGTTTAAAGGGAAACCTACTTATCTAGATGTGATTAACCTTTACCTACAAGACACACAAATTTTTTATGGATATGTTTTAAAAATAGCCTTCCCGATACATGTGGTGGATTGTTGGGTTTCGCAAGTGTGAATGGGAAAAGAAAAGAGAGAATATGAAAAGTGAGGGAACTATTTTGGAGGGAAAATGAAAAGTCATTTGCAAAGTGCAAATGAAGAGTCATTTCTCCCATATCGGCAAAAGAAAGGGAAATTGTTGTCCTTATATAAGGAAACACTTCTATTACTTCTTAAAGAGCTAAGAAGAAGATGCCCCCTCGCGTCGTCGCTCGGCTTCGGCTTTTTTGGATAAAATTCATTTAATCAGTTTTTATTAAATCAAATAAATCGTGTTAATATTTTCTCTTATAAATTTGCGGGTAACAGTAACATTCCGAAAAGTTGTTAATCTTTTCGAAAAGTCGTTACTTTTCAAAAAGCCATTATTTTCCTAACAGACACATTTTTCTGAAAAGTTGTTATTTTTTCCAAAAGACACAACTTTCTAATTAAAACGGGCCTGAACAGATTTCTCTGAACAGACAGGTTTCTTGCTGAAAATGGATATAAAAGAAAGTCAATTTTTGATTTTTTAAACACTGAAATTTTCCTTCTCTGCATATATATTTTTCTCTTAAATAAATCAAAGTGTGGATCGACTGAGTCTGTGTGATTTGTTGTTGTTCTGAAGTTCCGTGAAGTTAACAAAATTTGAGGTACCACTATTTCTTTAACAGGTTTAATCCGTTTTGTCTTGGGAGAAATTAATCTATAACCTTGGGTACAGTGAGTGATTAAATTTCTTAAGGATACACAGTAGTTTCTGTGGACTCGGATTACTTCTTGTATTGTATGTATTTTCTGTTTCATCTTATTCTGTTTCTGTCGTTTTAGGCTAACCTTGTAATACACGTTAAATAACAAAAAGTCATTACAACGAATCTGTGATATTTTCAGACATTGGGAAGGTATAATCTACTAGTACTATATGTCTTATTATCGTGATATTTGGAGTTAATTTCTCTGAACTCTTTTTGTTGTTTATAGCAAAAACGCGATTGTTCAAATGAATATAATGATTATCAGCCAGGTTCACTTATGACAACTGACACCCTTATTGATGACCTTGGTAACATTGATGCGGTTTTCCTTATTGGACATCTCCCCTATGCAAATTACGGATATACCTCACGATGGGATCAATTTACAGCACAAGTAGAGCCAATTAATAGCATTTCATATTTGCAAGGCATGTTCATACATACTACTCAAAAATGCCTTTTTGATTGTAGATAGATCGATCGATTGCTTCTGATTATTTGATAATGTATATATTACACATATGCATTGTGTTTTCGTTTTCATGCAGACACAATTAGTGTTCTTCTAACTCTCTACAATTTGTTTTCTGGTGGTAACCATGAAAGAACCTGGGAGAACAGTGGATCAATATACAACGGTCTAGCTTCGGGTGGAGAATGTGGTGTACCAGCTGAAACATTATACGAACATTCCCATAGAAAATAGAGCTAAGTTCTGGTATATATGCAGCTGATTATGGGATGTCCACTTCTGTATAGCAGTCACTGAACATGACTGGAGAGAGGGATCAGAACGATACAAGCTTATCGAGCAATGCTTTGCGTCAGCCAATAAACATAAACAATCTTGGCTAATTTTTGCTGCTCATCATGTTCTTGGTTACTCTTCCAATGAATGGTATGTTGATGAAGGATTGTTTGAAGAGGCCATGGGAAGGGAGCACTTGCAAAAGCTCTGGCAAAATTATAAGGTTGATATGACATTCTTTGGGCACGTTCATAACTATGAAAGAGTTTGCCCCATTTACCAGGTATATATATACATTTTATTTCTATTTCACTTAGATATATACATTTGAAAACCATTCATTTTGTTGTTTGGCAAATTGTTGTATGGACAAAACCAATGTGTGAACAAAGAGAGTAAGAGACATCACACTATTCTGACGTAGTGAACGGAACAATTCATGTTGTTGTTGGTGGAGGAGGGGCTCATTTGAATAGATTCACCACCATTAACACTACAAGGAGTGTGTTAAGAGATTAAGACTATGGATTTGTCAAACTCACAACATTTGACCAATCTAACCTTCTCTTTGAGTACAAGAAGAGCAAAAGATGGTAAAGTGTATGATTCGTTTACAATATCAAGAGATTATAAAGATGTCTTAGCTTGTGATCACGATGGTTGTGAACCAACTACTTTGGCTAATCAAACTCAAATATGTCTTGAAGTGTATGTGCTGATTTAACCAACCGGTACCTGAAGCCTGTTGGCTCGACTTATCTACATTCGCGTCGAGTGTATACAGTAAGTTTGTCCTAGAACTAGTAGTATTTAAATTTTGTCTCTGTTGCTCTCTTATTATTCTTCTTTTGGCTTCCATATTGCCTCCTTGTAAGTGGACGTAAACTATCACAATTTCTTAATTTTAGAATAAAGAAAAGGGGCATACTGTGGGAACTAGTTATGGATTTATCTTGTCCAAAAGTGAAGAAAAGTTTGCAAATTACACTATATTTCTTATTGCTCTACCTGAGTCGATTGTCTATATCAGAAAGTCCTTTTCACCTTTAGGGGTAGAGGTAAGAATGCATACACAAAATTTTCTTTATATTATGTATGTTTTACATTGTTACCCTCAATATGTAATATTGCATTAGTGATGGATTTATCAGAAACAACATCTCTACCTTCACAAGGTAGAGATAAGAAGAAAGAGACAAAGTTTGCATACACCACCTTTTTCAAACCTAACTTAAAAAATTATACTAGATATGTTGTACAAAAAATAGTTCACTTACTTGAAAGGGGAGGGAAGGTGGGGGGTGGGGGGGGGGTTTGCTAGGGAGTATAACTTATTTAAATAAAACTATCTACATATGTGCAATGGCTCATATCTATTTATTATTAAAATGGTAAAATTTTAATTGCATGCGGTCACATAACTATTGAATTTCAAATATTTGAACTATCAAAGGTGAATAATTAAATTAACGTTGTTGGGTACTTTTTAAACTTAAATTATAAATCATATGTTATTGTTATATGTATCCTATTGCTTTCTTCTCTTCTCCACAGTTTAAGATAAGAAAAAAATATATATGATGATAAATAAGGAAGAAAATTTATATTGTTCCTTGTGACATTATTATTGTAACCACACCCAATCATGAGAACCAAAAAAAATCTAATTATAAAATATTTCCCTACAAATAATTGAACTTGTTTTTTTACCTTTAAAAACTCTCTTTAAAAAATTGCCATAAAAAAATATACATAAAACTAGAAATAATTAAATATTTCCACCTCTTCTAGTCAATACATAACATTTCCGTATTTTAACCATCATGACACAGCTCTGATTCATTCTTCTCACATGATTTTCGTTTAATTGTACTAATGATGCTACAAGGAACATTTTGAAAAATTGACATGTCAGCTATTAGACTTTTTTCTTGCCTTTTGAAAAGTAGAGAAAAATAAAAGGAAATAGTGTATATTGGGCCATGTGGAAAGTTTTTTTTAAAAATAGATATATAATAATTGTACTTTCTGGTCTAATTGGATGCATTTTTTTTTGTTATGTAACAACTTCGGTACATGAGAAAAGTTTTGAGTTCTTATCGCACATTAATTTTGTGAGTAAAATATTGACAGAATGTCATAAATGATTTTTCAATTATAATAATAGGTCTAAAATAGTTGTTTAATTATACACTAAATTAATATAAATTTGCATATCGAACAAATTATATTAATGACGAGAACATATTACTTTGTTGAAGTTTAATTAGCTTGACTCTGTATAGTTTTTCTAACCTATGAAATATAGTGAATTAAGTGTAAATATTCACAAAATTTTAGTTTAATAAAAGAATCTTCTTTGGCTAGTTAAACTCAATGTGTATAGTCGTTTAACTTAGGATTTATTTGGTCACAAAAATTATTCACTTTGTTGTTGTTCCTTGAAGCATTGTTATTATTACAACCTTATATAACCATAACCAATCATTAGACAAACACAAATAGTTTAATTATCTAAATAATTAACTGTAAATAAGTTAAATTATCTTTTTACCACTCAAAACTCATGTTCAAATATTGTGATAAGAAAATTGAATTGAAGTAGGATAAATAATTGAGTATCACATTATCTCCTTATCGAAACATGACCTTTACTTACAATAAGAGTCACAAGATATCTTTAATTCATTCTTCCTACATAATCTTTGGCTAATCATGAGTTTTGAAAGATAGAAAAATGATTTTACTAAAATATAGTAAGCTATATCGATGATTAGACTATTTCTTTTGGGTCTGATGTTTGGTTACAATTATATTAGGTTATAGTAATAATTATGCTACAAGAAACATTTTTGAAAATTACAACCGAGCTATTAAACTTCTTTTCTTGCCTTCGAAAACAAACAAAAGTTTAAAAAAGGAGGAAATGTGGTGTATTGGGTCAATGGAGAGTTCCTTTTTGTAGGTATCAATAATTGTACTTGGATGCATCTTTTTATGTGATTTAACAACTTCGGTACATGAAAAAAGTTTTGAGTTATTAGCACCAATATTATATATTTTTTACTAAATTAAGCCATTATATAAAATAATTTATCAACATAATACATTTTTTAAAATTTTACAAAACTATTATAAACGTATTTTACAGTAATGTTTTAGGATATATTCCATTTTGTAAAAACTAACAGCCTTAGGTTGACATATGTTACTTTGAGTAACGTTTTACTCCTAAAACGTTTTTTTGAGTAACGTTTTACTCCTAAAATGTTATCGTGAGTAACATATATAAATCTAACGCCGTTAACTTTTAAAAAATAAAATATACTCTAAAATGTTACCGTAAAATATGTTTATACTAGTTTTGTAAAATTTTAAAAAAAAACATATTATTTTGATGAATTGCTTTATACCATGGCTTGGTTTAGTAAATAATTTTGTGAGTGAAATACCTAATGTTCGTTAGAATTTGATGATGTAAATGTCAAAGAAAAAAATTAAAGAAAAGATACAAATTACCATAGGTGTAAAAATAGAATAAAATTTATTTTTAAAATGAAAAATAATAGTGAAATCAAAATTGTATTTAATTAAAAAAAATACTCACAAAGTTGAATTAAAACTCTTTTGAGTATTTTTTTAAACAAATTAAAATAGTAAAAATATATTTATTGAAAATTTTATGATTCAATGTGATTTTCAAAAATTAAACTCAAAAACAAAATGTGTATCTGACTTTGTAAAACAAGTGGATAAGTTCCGCGACTACTTTTTCTGAAAGAGAAGAACAACGAATATATATATATATAAAATTCACGCACGCCTATAATTAAGATGGTGAATGATAAATTTTCTTAGTTAAATGCAGTAGTGTATATTTTATTTCAATTTGATAAAGTTCAATCTTATAATTAGTGGTATCTCACTAATATTACCTTATTAATGATTTTTGTTGTGAATTTTCTTGTCATCTAATCAAATTTATTTTACACTTGTATTCCATGTTAAACTGTTTAAATTTCCTATAAACATATAAAGAGCATAACTACATTTTATTTTTAAAATTATTTTTTGTATATTAAATTTTATTTTATAAGTTATAATGTCACACCCCTTTTTTCCCTCAAAATTTTTTTGATTATTATTGTTTGAAAGAAAAAGAGTTTTTTCCAATTAAAGTGACGTTTTGAAAAGAGATAATTATTATTTAGAGTCGCCACTTAGAATTGAGTTTTGGTATTCCAAATCACCTTATTTGAATCCCTAATCAAAAGGAAATTTGACTCTATTTTATTGGTCTACGAACTAGAAATTCGGATAAGGAATTCTGTTGACCGAGGGGAAGATGTTACGCACCCCTCGAGTCCCGTGGTTCTAGCACGGTCGCTTTATTGACTTTAGTATGACTTAACTTAATTTTTTGGACATTATATTATTTAATTAATAATAAAATTGTTATTTAACCTTAAATTTATTTTAAACTTATTTGAAATTGGCTTATTTATTTTAAATGGTTGTAATTTTTTTTTACTATGCGTCTATTAATTTTAAACATTAGGAATATATATTTAGTTATTTACTAGATAAAAAATAAAAAAAATAAATAAATTTTATAAGATTTGAAGTTAGTTTTTATCAAGAAATCCTAAATAGATTACAAAAGTTA